CCCCCCCCCCCCCTTAAAATTTCTTACAGTGTTGGACTAGTCGTCACGAACTCCTTTAGCTTTTGTTTGGGAAAATCTTTATCTCTCGTTCTATTTTGAATGACAGCCTTGCTGGATAATGAATTCTTGGCTGCAAATTTTTCCAGTTCAGGATGTTGAATATATTCTGCCACTCCTTTCTGGCTCGCCAAGCTTCTGTAAATAGGTCTGCTGTGAACCTGGTCTGTCTTCCCTTATCGGTTAAGGACTTTTTTTTCTTGCTCCTTTCATAATTTTTTCCTTGTTTGTGTATTTTGTGAACTTGACTATGATATGTCTTGGTGATGGTCGGTTTTTGTGGAATCTGATGGGAGTTTCCTGTGCTTCTTAGATTTTGATGTCTGTGTCCTTCCCTAGATTAGGAAGGTTTTCCTTTATAATTTGTTCACATAAACCTTATGTCCCTTTTCTTTCTCTTCATATTCTGGGTCTCCTATGATTTGGATGTTATTCCTTCTTGATAAATCAGTGAGTTCTCTAAGTCTGTATCATGTTCTTTTTGCCTTTGTTTCCCTTTTTTCCCTGCTTCATTATTCTCCATAATTTTATCTTCAGTATTGCTGATTTGCTGCTCTGCTTTGCACATCTTTGGCATTGTGGCATCCATTGGAGATTGCATCACGGTTATAGCATTTTTAATTTCAGTCTGACTAGGTGTTATTTCTTTTACTTCCACAGATATGGATTCTCTAGTGTCTTCTATGCTTTTTCTCACCCCCAGCTAGTATTCTTACTATCATGGCTCTAAATTCTAGTTCAGACATATTATTTATATCTGTGTTGATTAAGTCTCTGGCTGTCATTTCCTATTCTTTCTTTTGGAGTGAATTCCTTCATTTTGTCATTTTGGAGGAAGAGAATATAATAATAAAATAAAATATTAAATATTAAAAATAAAAAACAAATCAAAGATCAAACAAAGGAAGCTAGATCCTAGGTGTGTTTCATTCTGCTTGTTGAAAGAAGCTTGATAGAAAAAAAGGAAAAGGGGGGGGAAAGGTAAGAAAAATTTTTAAAATTAAAAAATAGAATAAAATAGAATAAAAATAAATTTAATTAGAATACAAAAATTTTTAAATAAAAAATAAAGTAAAAAATAATTTTTTCTCTTTCTGTATCCAAGAAAGAGAAAGAAAAGAGAGAAGAAAGAAAACAATTTAAGCAAAAACAGAACGAAAGAAAATGAACAAATAAATGAACCATCAAAGAGAATGAAACCTGAATGAAGTTACAGCCAGTTTCCCCTAGAACTGAAACTATGAAGCTCTCTATAGTCCATCCACTAAGCAGCACATGGAGTGACCCCCCCCCCATTTTTGGGGGACGTGGTTGGAGGGCACAATTGGATGGGGCTTGGTATAATGACCATTCTCCAGTAGGTGGCACTGTTTAGCTTACTGGGGTGGATCATTGTGTGTGCACGTGCACACAGCAGGTGGAAATGGTTTTACCCAGCTCCCTAGTCTCTGACACAGGAACTTCACACTCCCACTGACCTACGATTAAGCACCCTTCCTTTGTCTCAGGCCTCCATCCACTCCCTGCCTCTACCTTGTCCATGTCCAAGCTGTCTGGCACCTCTTTCCAGCTCCAGAGTTTTGTCTCAGGTGGGTTTGTGTTTCAAAACCCCGCACTTCATAGACCCTGGTGACGGATCTGCACCGACTCTCTGTGGGAGGGTCTTACTGAGCAATGGCCGGGTGCCGGCTTGCCCCAGAAAATGTTTGTGTGGTCATTCAGAGATTATGGCAAATCACAACACACAGGCGGCCCCAGGTCTCACTGCTGCCTGGCATCTTTGTCCCAATGCCAGCAAACACTGCTCTCTGGGGGTCTGCTGGGACCTTTGGCTGTGGGGAGGCTGTATGACCTCTACCAAATGCTCTCCAAGGAGGGGAACCACTTCTCCCCATGTGGCACATGAACCCCTCAGCCTGCATTGCCTGCTTCTGAGGATTCACCCTACTTCCTCACCAGAGTGCCACCAGACACTGATCTCCAAACCTTTAGACTGTGTGCTCCACTGTTTATAGAATCCTGGTAGTATTGAAACCCTCTCCTTTCTTCCCCTCAGTGGTTTTGGGGAACAAAGTTCTTGTTTAGTCCCCTGCAAGTGTTTTCACTCTTTCTCTTTCTCTCCAGCTACTTTCAAGGGAATGTTTTTCCTGCAGTCTCCAGATGCCCTCCACTCTCCCCCTTTCTCTTTCTGTTTGTGTCCTCTTTCTGTGAAAATGGCTCCATACCCTCCACAGCTTTTCTCTCCCCCGGTTCACCTCTCTGCTCCGTATACCTTGTGAGTTCTATGGCTTAAGTTATACAGATTGTTGTGTTCATCCTCAGATCAATTTCCCAGGTATTCAAAATAGTTTGGTGCTGATCTACCTGCGTTTCAGGGATGAGACGAGTTCAGGGTCTCCATACTGCTCCACCATCTTAACTCCACCTCCAGCACAGTATTTTATTTCTAAAGTGCAGAGAAAAAATTTTGAAATACTTTAATGTATCATGTTAGGCCTGCTTTAAGGAGACTTTATTATAGCAGTGAAGCTTATTCTTAGTGAATGAAATAACCTAAAATACAGACTTACAAAGGCTTTCTCTTGATATCACTTTATAGCAGTATTTGATTCTCACAGTAATGAAGTTTAAGATCTCTATTATATATGTACAACTTTTACTTTTAAAATGCTGATTTAATAGGTACAGATTTCATGGGGATAGATAGAAACCCAGATTCTGAAATTCTTAACTTTACTAGTGACCACAGACACCAGAGAAGAGGACAAACAATTCATTTTTGATTCAACTATATTGCTGCCTACATGCCAGAAACCTTTGCCTCTCACTAACATTACCAAGGCTTCTTAACTTTTGTTTCCAGAATATGTTCATTCATTCATACCTGTGTGCATGCATTCATTTCACAGATATTTCATTAGTTCCTACCATGTGTCAGGCACTGTTATAGATACTGAGGATGCAGTAGTGAAAAAACAAAAAATATCTTTGCCTTTATGGCATTTATATTCTAATGAGGAGAGATAGATAAAAAAATGATCATAAGTATATTTTTTGTATATGTTGATACACTTTAAAGAGAAAAAAATAAATAAAAATAAAGGAAGTAGCTGATTCAGAGATGGGAATTAAAGTTTTTGATTAGGAAGGGAGGAACAAGTAACGCATTGTAAACTCATTTGAATTAAGACCTCTCTTGCTAGGTAAAAGTGTTATCCATTAGAATACCTGGACGAAAAAGCTTTTCAGGGAGAAGCAATAACATGCTCAATGATCCTACAGTAAGACTATGCCTAGTGTCTTCTTAAAACAGCCAGTAAGCCAGATAAACTCCATTGGAGAGAGCAGGGGCAAAGCAGTAGGAGCTGAGGTTGGAGTGGTAGAAGGCAGGTCATGAAGTTTAGAGTCTCAGAGGCCATCGTGATATTTTGGGCTTTTATCCTGAATGAGATGGGAAGCCATTGGACACACTGAATCACTCTGGTTGCTGTGTTGAGGAGCACTGTCTTTGCACTTTTTAACCATAGTCTTTATAGACATTCAGGCTAGTTCTTTCAGAAATTGGCTCCTGTCTGAGCATGAGAAGAGCTTTGAGTTAAGGCAAAAATCCCAGTAACAAAGGAGATTAGTAAGAGATAAGATTAAAGTCAATGAGAGATTTTGCTAAGAAGAGAGGTATGATCAGATAGACTTGAGGGAAAGATGGGAGCAGGGAGACTATGAGGAGGTTGTTGCATTTAGCCAGGCTCAGGGTGCAGTTGCTGAGATTATAGATTTGCTCACATTTCATATGGAGAGTATAAGAGAAAGAAAGGAGTCCTAATCTCCACCTGGAAATATGTATGGAGATATCATTAACTATGATGGAGAATATTATGGGAAAGGCAGGTTTTACAGAGAATATCAAGAACTTCATTCTGAACACATTAAATTTGAAATTCTTTAGATATTCAAGTGGAAATGTTTGGCAGACTGTTAGATATATGAGTATGAAGTTCATGGAAGAATTTCATACTGGATTTATAAATTTTAGGTTCGTTAGCCTAGAATGGTAGTTAGATCTCTAGGTCAGACAACAAAGTATAACTCTTCTATATGAAGTATAGTACCATACTAAACAGAATTAGGAGACTAGGAAGATACCTCCCACCACTCATTGGACTGGAGAATCATTTATTTCCAAACCCATAAGTTGACCCAGGAAGGAAATGACTATTGTGGGTAAGGGATAGAAGATCAGGATGGTGGAGATTTTGCTATTCAGATCACATAGTTTGAAGGCAAAAAGTTGCACGGCATGTTACTTAATTCCACAGAGGTTTTCATTGTATTGCTGACACTACATATTGCTACTAAAAGACCAATTTGGAGGGAGATAAAAGTCTACTTGGATTAATAAAATAGAAGTGTGAGTCAGCTGACAGATTTTCTAGGAAAATTTGCCCATTACTGAAAAGGTTTTTAGATGTTCTGTTGTGAACACATGATTCTTAGACTTTCTAGAGCCATCTTACAACCAGAGGAATTACAAATATCTTGATTCACAAGTGGAATTGGCCATAAACAGATTAAGGAGCAAACTCAATTATCTCTTGTTAAGAAAACATCTACATTGATAGGAACAAATGTGCTGATGCTAGCAACAACTCACTGTTTGCTAACTTTAAGCTTGTCATCAGCATCAGTGTGCTTCATGGAAGGAAAGGAATGGAGAGCTTCGCTTTCACTGGAGATTCAGATATGGGGAAACTAATAGAGTTTCTACTGCATAGCCCTTATATTTATGATATGTATTGTATCTTCAGTTAGGTTGTAATTCCTTAAGATCAAGATGTATAATGCTTATGTATTTCCCATAATATCTAGCCCAGAGATGAACATCAAAAGGGGTATAAGCTTATTTATGGGAATTATTTATTGGAGTGTCACGTATGAGTAACTCATTGGAGTGTTCATTTGAATTGCAAGATCCTAAATTTTTTGAGGACTTAATTATTGGCATTACTTCAAGTATAAGAGTGTTTTCTTGAGTGACTTATACCAGGTTTTAACTGATTTTAGGATAGACATAATAAGAGTAGATATTTCTTAAGAGAGTATTCCTATAATTGTCCATTTATTTCTTACGAAATGACATGGCAGTACAATAATAATCTTGGTAATATTTCTCTTATTTTTAGCATTATTTAGGTATAATTTACATATTCACCAATTCTAGGTGTACATTTTGATTTATTTAGTAAGTGTCTGCAGTTGTGTAACCACCATCATAATAAAAAATATTTGTCACCATAAAAAGTTTCCTCATTCCCTTTCACAAAATATTTCTTTCTCCATTCTCAGGTAACTATTGAACTGCTTGTAGTTGTTTTTGTTTGTTTGTTTGTTTTGTTTTGTTTTTCTTTTTTTAAGTAAATTCTACCCCCAACGTGGGGCCCAAACTCATGGCCCCAAGATCAAGAGTCACCTGCTCTACCAACTGAGCAAGCTGAGCACCCCTGCTCTGCTTGTAGTATTGAATTTTCTAGAACATCGTGTAGATGGAATCAAATAGAATGAGAACTTGTTTTTGACTTGTTTCCTTTAGTTCACAGCTTTTAAGAGTCATCAATGTTGTATTTACTCTTGGTTTTTCCTTTATGCCATAGTATGAATATACTACAATTTGTTTTGCCATTTACAAGTTGATGGATATTTTAGATGTTATCATTTTTTTTAGCTGCTATGAATATTCACATACAAGATTTTGTGTGGACATGTTTTCATTTGTCTTGGGCAAATAGCCTGGAATGGGATTTGTAGGTTGTAAGCTAAGTGTAAGTTTGAACTTTATAAGCTGCCAGTGTTTTCTAGAGTGCCTGTACCACTTGACATTTATGTGCATCTCGTTATGATTTTAGTTTGCATTTCCCTGATGACTAGTGATAGTAGGCATCTTTTCCTATTGGCCATTTGTATGTCTTCCTTAATGAAGTGTGCATTCAAATATTTAGCCAATTGTAAGTTGTTTGCTTGTCTTATTATTGAGTTGTAATATATATTTTTTATTTTATATTTATATTTATTTGTATTTATTATATATTTTAATTTTTATATATGTATATATTATTATTTATATTATATTTATTTATGTTTATTCTATATTTTATATATTCTGGATACAAACAATTTGTCAGATATATATTTGCAAATATTTTTACCACATTTTTAATAGCAAAATTTTTATTTTCATAAAGTCCATTTTTTCAATTAGTTCTTTTGTAGTTCATACTTTTTATGTCCTACATAAGAAAACTTTGCCAAGTGTCACAAAGATTTTCTCATGTTTTCTTCCAGAATTTAATAGTTTTTACTATCACATTTAGATTTGTGATCCACTTTTTTTTTTAATGTTTATTTATTTTTGAGAGAGACAGAGCGTGAGCTGGGGAGGGGCAGAGAGAGACACAGAATCCGAAGCTGGCTCCAGGCTCCAAGCTGTCAGCAGGCCCAACAAGGGGCTTGGTCCCACAGACCATGAGATCATGACCTGAGCTAAAGTTGGATGCTTAACCGACTAAGCCACCCAGGTGCTCCTGATTTGTGATCCACTTTTAATTAATTTTTGTGTTTGCTGTGTGACAGGCATTTTTCCCCCAGACGTACATCCATGATACCAGCACCATTTGTTGAAAACATTATCTTCTCTATTGAATTACCTTAGCCATTTTGTCAAAAATTAGTTGATTATGTAAGTGTGAGTCTATTTCTGTTTTTGATTACTATAGTGTTATATTATTTCCTGAATCAGGGTTATCTTCCAACCTTATTTTTTTTTTTCAAAATTGTTTTGGTTATACTAGGTACTCTGCCTTTTCATATAAACTATAATATCAACTTGTGATTTTTTTTTTTTTTTAAGAAATCTGCTGGGATTTTGATTAGGATTTTTGTTGAATATGTAAGTCATTTTGGGGGAATTGACATCTTCATTTTGAGTCTGCCATTTCATGAACATTCATTTCATGAATGATATATCTTTATTTAGATCTTTCAATTTTTTTCTCTGCTTTTATAGTTTTTAGTGAATAGCTATTTCAGAACCTTTGTTGAATTTATTCCTAGATATTCTATTTTTATGCTATTTTAATTCAATTTGTTTTAAATTTTATTATCTAATTGTTCTTTGCTATTATATATGTTTTGATGGTTCATTATTAATTTCTAATGATCCTGTATCCAGATGCATTGCTAAATTCACTTTCTAGTTTTGTTAGCTTTTTGTATATTCCTGTAGACCTTCTGTAGACAATCATGTCCTCTATGAAGAGTGACAGTTTTATTTCCCATTAGGTCTTTTACATCTTTTCCTTGACGTATTATACAACCTAGAACCTCTTTTAAAATGTTGAATAAAATTGATGAAAGTGGTTGGTTTTTAACAGGAATAAAAAATAAACATAACAGGTTGTATAAATTATACAACCATTTCTTTATTTGTTTTTAAAAAAGATATTGAGAATGTTTTCTATTCTTATCTGACTAAAATACTTTCATTCATTCTTTTTTTCTTACTTTAGGTAATTGACCTGGGTTCTGGAAAAGGCTACCTAAGCTCTTTTTTGTCCTTGAAGTATGGCTTAAAAGTTTATGGAATTGATTCCTCAAATACCAATACTCATGGAGCTAAGGAGAGAAACAGGAAATTGAAGAAACATTGGAAAGTCTATCATACTCGGTCAAAATTAGATGGCAATGGACTGGCATTAAAAATGGCAAAAGAAAGGAAAGTGCAAGATGAAATTAAATATAAAGTAGATATTGAGGGAATATGTAACAACAGTCCTGCAAATCAAGGAAAGATGTCTACCTCGGATTTTTTGCCAGATTTTTCGGATTCTGTAATTTCTAACATTAGAACACAAATGGAAAACCTACATGTGTATTCACATCGAGAAGAAAATTTGTGTTTTGAAAATGCCTTTTCTCTTATAGACCTTTTGCCTATTAATGCTGTAGAACCTACTTCATTGCAAACATCGAAGAGAAATATGTCTGAAGCAAATAAAGAGAGAAGAAAAATGATATCAAAGTCAAATGAATCAAATATATACTCACCTTTAACATCTTTTATCACTGCTGATTCAGAACTGCATGATATTATTAAAGACCTGGAGGTGATTTCACTTTTGAATTCCTTAATTTAATTTACAAAAATACTCTTAAGACATTGAGTTAAATTTTAATAGTAGCTTACTTAACCTACATATCTTATTTGATTACATTAATCTAAAGGACCAAGAAAATAAAATTATATGCAGTTTTTCATGATTCCTATAGCTGTAAAATCTGCCAAGAGTATAAAATCTGACAATCAGACAATTAACAGTTTTTCCAGAATAGAGTGCCCTCCACTCATTTCAAGCCTTCTAAATCAAACAAGTACTAGCACAAAAGCTAGCAAGATAAGTTTTATTATGCAATGTAGGGATTTTCAAAATTCCAGTCCAAGAAAACTCTTAACATTTTAATTTAAATTTGCAGTAAAAGGGTAGCTAGAGCAATATTATGTTTAACATTAGCCTTGGTAACCAAATAATGCAATTTTCTTGAGCAAGAGTAGGTTGAGTATTTTTTAAATGAATTGAACTTTTTCTAAACTATAAGTAATTCAGATCATGTAATTGAGAGACAAAATATCTTAATTAAAGGCAGTATTGCATGTTAAGTAGAGGAGATTCTAGAAATCATTTGGCCTCATTATCTTAAAAAACAATGTAGCTTTTGAAGTTGTAATACTCTATTCTTACTAAATTTTTCAGAAATTCTTCCCTAAAGAAATGAATAAACAAAAGATAGTAGAGTTTCTTATAAATTTCAATTCCTGTTTGGTAACTGACTAGTATTTTTATTTAATCCTTGTTTGGTAGTCAACCAGTGTTTTGTCCTTTTAGAATGAGGAATTTTTTTTTCTGAACATTTGTATTTCACTAGATAAGGGAAACTGGTTAGTTCTCATTAATTGTTTTACCTACATATGAAATCAGTAATTAAGTTATACCTTAACTTTCTCTTAGGGATAAACAACTCCAATTACTTTAACTAACTTCAAAATACATAAATTTTAGTGCTTATTATCATATGTTTATATTTTTCAAAATCTTGTTGAAAGTGTATGATCAAAGCTATATGCAAACTATTATAAGAATCTGTCTAATATAAGATGTACTGGGAGAATATTTCTTGAGTCCTACAGTGAATTAACATAATAACCCAAATTAATTAATACCTCCCCTCTCCTCTTTATAACAACATATATAATATTTAAATATTTTATCATTAGGATAAAATAGTGATTGCATATTTTTGTCTACCACTTGATAATATTATTAACTAATATCATATGATGACTATAGTAAAGAATGAAGTTAAATGTTCTTGTATTATCTTTAGGCAGAACTAAGCTAAGTTTAAAGAGAGAGATTTAGGGGCGCCTGGGTGGCTCAGTCAGTTAAGTATCAGACTTCGGCTAATGTCATGACCTCACCGTTTGTGAGTTTGAGCCCCACGTAGGGCTCTGTGCTGACAGCTCAGAGCCCAGAGTCTGCTTCAGATTCTGTGTCTCCCTCTCTCTCTGTTTCACTCACGCTGTATCTCTCTCTCTCAAAAATGAATAAACATTAAAAAAAATGTTTTTAAAGAGAGAGATTTATACCTGTCTTACACATATATCATGATGATGATAAGAATAGAAAGCACTTACTGAATTTTATTGTGTGCTAGAGATTGTACTATGTCATTTTACCAGTATTAACTTATTTAAGTTTTATCCACTGAGGTAGGGACTATTATTATACTCATTTTGCAGATGAGGAAGTTAGAACAAACTTGGTATAATGATTAAGCTCTGTGAATATATGTGTTTGTTCCCATTCTGTATGTGTGTACGTTTAAATTAGGCTTTGGGCAATTAGAAGAAACATTTCATAGGAGAACTGTTACATAAAATTCATGTTATAACATTAATTTAAAACAAAAATTTTCTATTGAGTTTAATATTGCCACATTTTATGCAATGAATATACTTTTTTGGTGTTGGAGTAGAATTGCCAACTTAACACACTTATTCCTTTTTTTTTTTTTTTTAATTTTTTTTTTCAACGTTTATTTATTTTTGGGACAGAGAGAGACAGAGCATGAACGGGGGAGGGGCAGAGAGAGGGAGACACACAACAGGCTCCAGGCTCTGAGCCATCAGCCCAGAGCCTGACGCGGGGCTCGGACTCCCGGACCGCGAGATCGTGACCTGGCTGAAGTCGGACGCCCAACCGACTGTGCCCCCAGGCGCCCCTTAACACACTTATTCTTAATGACAACGTTTTGAAAGTTTTGATAGGCAGTTTGTACAGAAGTGAATAAAAAAACTGACTAAAAGGTGTAAATGTGTCTCAAGTCACAAGTTTGTCCTAGTAATGGATGCTACATTTGACTGGCCAGCCTTTAATTTGGCTAATAGTTAAGCAAACAGTAGTTGTAAAAGAGATCAGAGAAAATTCAAACAGATAAGTAATCAAAACCACTAGAAAGTCAACTCAAAAGTATGTTAGTTGTGATGAAAGATCTTACACACTTTGCCTATAAAGGAAATAATTATAATAAAAAAAAAAACATAGAGTACTTTCTAGGTAGAATTTGATCATTTTTAAAAGCTCCATATAGTCTAACGAACATTTAAAATCTTCACCTGAAATGTTTTTTTAGCCCTCCTCTTAATGCCAAAATTTATTTTTTCTTCTCATTGTTAAAGGATTGTTTGATGGTAGGCCTCCATACTTGTGGTGATCTTGCTCCAAATACCCTGCGAATATTTACTTCCCAGCCTGAAATCAAGGGAGTTTGCAGTGTGGGTTGTTGCTATCACCTCTTATCTGAAGAATTTGAAAACCTGCACAAAGGTACAAAGTTTTCCATGTCTCATAGTTCTCTTTATTTGAGCATAATGGCTACTTTGTATCTCTCCTTTTTATTGTTGACAGTAACATTTGAATTAACATTTGAGCATATCTGACTTCCTTGCAGTTTTAATGTTACCACAAAAGAAATTTGATGTCCAACACCTCATGTAATATTATAGGATTTTTTTTTTGTTCATAAAATGGTCTTAATGAGTGCTAAAAACTGTAAATATTTAAAAATTTTATGTGGTAAATTTTACAGAACTTCTGTTTAAAAATACTTGTAATATATAGATTTGCTTAAATAGTAAAGCTGAGTTATTTTGAGGTGAATGTACTGTGGCAAAGTTTGCTTTCATTTCCAAAGCCTTTGTTTTGTAAAGAATATTGATAATTTTTTGAAGAAAGTTCTTTACTGTATTTTGAAGAGTCAACATACTCTGGTTTTAAAAATCTGCATAACTGCTGCTCTGGGAAACAGTGTGGAAATTCCTCCAAAAATTAAAAATAGAACTACCCTATGACCCAGCAGTAGCACTGCTAGAAATTTACCCAAGGGATACAGGAGTGCTGATGTACAGGGGCACATGTGTACCCCAATGTTTATAGCAGCACTTTCAACAATAGCCAAATTATGGAAAGAGCCTAAATGTCCATCAACTGACGAATGGAGAAAGAAGATGTGGTTTATATATACAATGAAATACTACTTGGCACTGAGAAAGAATGAAATGTGGCCTTTTGCAGCAACGTGGATGGAACCTGGAGGGTATTATGCTAAGTGAAACGAGTCAGGCAGAGAAAGACAGATACCATATCTTTTCACTCATATATGGATCCTGAGAAACTTAACAGAAGACCAGGGGGGAGGGAAAAGGGGGGAAAA